AAGTACTTGAGAAAGATATGAATGCAGAGTACAGCATAATATATTCCTGGAGGACCCGAAAATGGGTCAATCTTGAGGCAGATAAAAAAAGCATTATCACCTCCACAGTGCTAGATTTAGAAAAGCTGTATCTATTAGTCACACTCTTCTCTAGCAGAAGCAATCTTTACTCTGAATTATTTCAGGTTTGCTTGTAATCCTGTATGGTTTCAAAGTTATTAGGAGTCTATGGCTTGGCACTGACTCAGTAATATCTGCTAGGTTTCAATACTGAAAAGCAGTAGAAATTATTATTTTAAATGAGTCTGCAATTGCCTGTTCATTTCTATTACAGAATGTTTGGTTTCTTTATGATGCTTTACCTGCAAATTGTGATCCTTTCTAGATTAATAGTTTAAACATATGCTTTGCAAAACTAGTGGTGTTGGAGGCTGTGAAAGAAGCGGGAAAGGAGTGTAACGCTATGACATGAAAAGATGTGATCTTTGACAGCGATCACTGAGGGAACACTCGATCAACTTATGGAGGAAACAAGTTAGCTCTGCTAACCTGGGACACTTACACCATATACTTTGTAGAAGCAAAGTGTAATTAACTAAGTATAAGTATACTGTAGTATTTTAAAACGAATAGATATAAATCTATTTACTCTCTTCTAATTTCTACGAGACAGTTTTCTCATAAAAGAAACAGAAAACAGTTTAAACTGAAGGGTCTGAGTTCACTCTATCCTTTTTCTTTTAACAAGATTCAATTTTCAATCCCTGTATCATCAGTGCTCAGTTTAAGAAAACCCTTTTGAAAATAAAAGCAATTAAATATTCCAGAGCAAAATAATAAAATACATAATATGCAATATATGATGCCTTCCACAGGCAGGGTTAGTATTTCAACTACCTAGTAAGCAAAGTAGTGCAACAAGCAAGTAAACAGAGTGGTAGGTTATCTTCAATCGTTCTACCTTTGGTTGCTGAGCACTGAATTCCACAGGGTCTCAGAAAACTCAGAACTTTCAAAAATGTGAACTCCTGAGTAAAGGAAAACAGTGAAACCATCAAATGGTAAATTGTGAAGGGACTTCTTCAGCCAAAAAAAAAAGTGTTCTTTATCCATTAAGTACACTAGACCATACCATTCACAATTCTTTTTCTTTGTACCTACAGGGGTGGATCAGTGTAACTACATTTTCAAGTCAGTATTCTAATGCTTTTCTTAGTTTGTAAGTGGCAGCGAAGGAGGTAAACATTCCTAAAAAATGAAAATTGGTAATCTGACTTTAACACTAACATTTTGGTAATGTCTGTTAAAGAGGCACATCACTTACACTAATGCTACCAAGTCTGACACATGCAACAAAGCCTGTAGTTTTAACTCACCACATTCTAATTCCCACATAAGAGCTAATTATTACCACTAATAATTCTAAGTCCCATAGGGGAATAGGATGGTAATAACATAACTGGGGACAACCCATAAGCGTACTTTTCTAGGAAAACCTCTAGTTCGAAGAGGAATCAATTCAGGGAAATTCTAGTGAATGAGCACAGCATCCTTCCAAAGACCCGATTCATCATGCATGCATATCCTAAATACATCTAACAAGCAGCAGTCCTGCATAAAATACTCAATTGAAGTCCTTTTCAAGACAGTATTAGAAGTATCGCATTTATTTGTGACCACTCTTACTCCTAGCGTTCTCACCTATGGGTGCCTGCTACAGAAGGTCATCATCTCAAATTCAACATGGTAAAAAGATGACTGGGAAGGTAAAATCATTTGCCTTCTGTTGCTCAGCAAGCCAATACACAAAGCTGCTGTATCACCAATGCTGGTCCTGGGCTGAGGTTGCAAGACCACAACTTCACCTTCAGCTATTGTGTCTTAAGTTACCACTGTGGATGGTAAATAAAAATCAGTTCACTAAAGACAGAGCTATAGGGTCACTGAAAGGCTTTTACTACACCTGCTATTTGCTTCCTCCTCAATGCTATTTGTTTGTATTTCATGACTGTTTCCATCCCATCACTACAGAAAATCTTCATCTACTGGATCCATGCTAGATATAGCACACCAAGATGCCCACAAACTGAATAATACAGGACAAATAAATTTTTATGCAAATTTATTAATTAGCTTTAACAGTAATACATAAATCAATACTATGTCCAGCATAAGGTTGTATAATAAAATATGCTATTCTGGTAGGATTGATTTCTAGTGCGTACATTTTAAGGGCAGTTTTCATCCAAATTGGACACATTTTAAAAAAATAAATAAATATAAGGCCAAAAATGCTTAATGAAAGTCCTGCTAAGTAAGACTTCAGGCTCCACATTGCTTCAAAGCACTACTCAGTACAGGTGTCTGCATACATCTTATACACAAATGGGTTGTGCTCAGGCAGCATACATTTTTTGACATCCAACTCAGATCAATACATACAAGATTTCCAATTTAGACCTCCTTATTCCTCTTAAAGCTAGCATCCACCTTCTTTCTCTTTTAGGATTGTCTCACCTTCCAGCTGTTTATCTGCACATATGAATCCTAGCAACATTATGTGCACAGAATACAAAAGTCCAGTCCCTTCCCAATACTACTTTTTTGACTTGAGATCCAGACTGTTCTAATGGAACTACTTATGAAACAAATTGCTACTCAACTCAAATAAGATGACATTGCTCTTGGGAAATAAAAAAAAAAAAAGGACTTTGGGAACATGGTATGCTCCCAGCTCTATTTGTTATGTTTTGGAGCTCTCCAGACTTCAGGAATACATCCTCTCCAGGATGTCTGCTGCTTAGTGCTACAGCATTAAGCTTTAGGCACACTGGGTTCTGTAGGCTATAGGCAGCCCACCAGAAGCTGCATTTTCAGCTTTGTTTCCCTGATGGCCAGCGAGTTCAATATATACAGTGGCATTCTGATGTTCGAAGTGCAGTATAGAGGCATTCACTGACATTCAGTCTACCTTTATTTATATTCAGCAATATTAAAATTTGGTCCCAATTTAGATCAGATACACATGAGAACATATTTGGCAAATCAGAGGTATTTTATTTACTAGTGTACTTATCACATACTGTATAGGTTATCCTTCGGGCATATTTATTCTACAAATCTAGATAAGCCAGTTTTATTTGTCTTCTGACTTAAATTCTGCTGATGGCAAAATTCCCTTTTCCTTAAGAAGATACATTCAGGATTGAGTCACAAATTTTAAAACTACTCTAATTTACATATTTTTCTTTATTGTATCAAAACAAAACCCAAAAGCTTGGTCAAAGTATAAACACTTATAAACCTAGTGAAAACATCCCTGAGAAACTTTCAGTAACATAGCAGTAATGATTAGGTTTGGTCCATCAGAGAAGAAAAATTGTTACATCCAGTTATTGAATACCGAGAGCTACAAGTACATTGGATGTACATTGGATTCCCATTCATTCACTTTCACTTCTCTTACAATATTTTGCATCCAAGACAAAAGCCACTAGAGGTTTTTTACATTCTATTTAGTGTGATATATAATGTAATCATTACAAGTTTTAAGATGAATGGCCTAGATTCAGCCCTGGTGTAACGCCTTTAGTGTCAATGGAGTTTACACACTTACATTACAGGGTTGAAGATTGGCAACATAGATGACGGTGTGAAGGACACTACCTAAAATTAAAAAAAAAACCTTAGAAGTTACAGAGGATACTTTTCACAAGTTGCGGACATATGTTTTTTGTACACTACTTATTTTGCAAACAAACATTTTACAAAGATTTAAGTTTAGAAGTCAATACTGTCATGCCATAGCAAAACTCAGAACGCTACCGGGTTCAACTCTGAGAAAGCAAAGTGCATAGAGGAGTTTCCACAAAAGTGCACATACAGTTAATGACTATGGAAGTACTGTGTTAAGTACACGTGCAGGGTTAAAAAAACAAAATGCAAAAGTTCTTGAAAAATCAGAGGGATACTTCATTCTTCACTGCTCTGAAGTTGCTTTAGAGGGTCACATAGTCCAACATCATTGTTTTAGCCGTATTTTAGAACAAACTAAGTCAAAATTCACATACATGTAAAACAGATAAATGCAAGTAATCTACTTTTTGACTTCTTTCACCTGGAATACTCATAATTTTCCAATATATCAGGCTTTAATAAGGTTTCTGAAAACAACAGCATTTGAAAATAAACTAAAGCTGCTTGTATTCTGAGGCAAAAACTAAGTTAGCTGTCGACTTTCTTTCTGTATCAGTACTCCTGACCTTAGAACCTTCTGCTACAAACCTGAGCAGACCTGTCATTTGCAATTAAAAAAAGCCATGCTTTATAGTGTTACATGAATAGCTTCTGCTAAAATGAGGCTATGTTTTACTTTATGAAGTGCAACAAAAGTGTAATACGATATCTTGTACCTAGCACTCATCTAATTTGTAAGGAAACATGCAAAAAAACTACTAAGGTGTTTCTGTGGAGTTAAACCAAAACAGATAGAATACTAAAAGAGTATTTTGGGAAAACATTGGAACTTAACAGTCCACTTCAGGAATCCAAGAAGGATATTTATACCCATTTGAGAAGACTGGGGAGCAGAACTGTTCATGGTAAGGGAAAAACAGAGAAAAACCCCACAAACAACTCAAATACTGCATATCAAGTTACCCTAAAGCAACTAAAATAACCCTTGTTTTGCTCAATGAGCACAAGAATTGTTCAGAATTGATAAACAAATTCAGTACGTATAACCAATAAACACTATCAGTGTGAGGGTCAGCAATGGAAATACAACATTATTATTGTGACCAAATACTAGATCATAGAATCATTATGGTTGGAAGAGACCTCAAAGATCATCAAGTCCAACCGTATACCTGATGCCACCATGTCCACTAAACCATGTCTTGAAGTACCACATCTAAACGTTTTTTGAACACCTCCAGGGACGATGACTCCACCACCTCCCTGGGGAGTCCGTTCCAATGCCTAACAACTCTAACATGTATGACTTGTGGGGATCCTTTGAAACACCAGCTGTCATGATCCAACTAGGTTGTCCTCTGCCAAACGTGAAACAGTTTTACAGGGTCACTGTAAGACGAATTTTAGCTCTCTTGGGACAGCTTCCTCAAACAGCTAAGTTATGTATTCAACTCTACAGAAACACCTTAGACAGGGTCACAAAAAGCAGTATATGTGTTTAACCATGACATTTGTGTAGCAAGTTAGTTGAGAAGCAGATCCTTTCAGACAGTAGATGTATTACCAGGTGGTGAACTGTCAGAGACCGCTTTGGGATTGGGAGTGCAACAAACAAAAATTTGTTTTCCCAAGGTTTTTTGGGCAAATCTGAAATACATTATGTGGCCCATTGCAACAAAAGACACAGAAATAAGCACCAATAAGCCAAAAGCTTCAGGATTTGGGGCCAAGATGACCATGATGAAGTGCAGCAAATCAAGAAGATAATTCATGGAGTTTTGGACACCATTTATGATGCCTCTTTCAGATTCTACCACATTTTCTTGGAGCAACTGTGTGACAGTCAAATCAAAGGACCAAAGGCCTATGGAGAGAAAAAACAGTTACATACATACAACTGAGCTTCTCATGGTAAGCTTTTATTACTGGCACAATTCAATTCATACTTCTAAACACTCAATTCTGCCAAAAAGGTGCAGGACAAGCCAGTCTCTCGTCAAACTAGAATGGATTTCACAGCAATTTACTTTCACTTTACTAATACTTCGTGAAATAATACATACAGTTTGACACATTAACTTGCCTGTCACATCTTGCTTTAACATGTCTATCAAGTTAATGATCTTTTACTCATCTGCTGCTTACTTAAATAGCTGTTTTACAGAGATGGCACAGAAGACTAGACAAGCAAACTGAGCAACTCCAGAAGTTTACAGGGCATTCATGCTAGCTACAATTGCTAAGTTTTGCATAAGATGTTTGCATTTAAACTATGCAGAATACATACTAATTTACAAGAGTCTTGGCTGACACTAGCTTCTATACTCTTTTAGTCCATTAATGATTCAGTTTTAGAAGTTTACCTTGCAAAAAACTTAATACATGTGAATTAAATATTTTATTCCTCCAAAATTCAGCAAAAACTACAAAATTAAGAATACAATCATTCTATAGATAAGAATGTAAATGTGATCAACAGTAATATTTGAAAGAATACAATCATTCTATAGATAAGAATTACTGTTGATCACATTTACATATTTGACTGCCTCTTCTGTTGACAGATATGAATACTACACTAACCAGCAATTCCTCAAATTAAGCTGCCATCCAAATCAAAGTTTCCGTTCTAAACTCCTTTGCTGGTCACAAGTTTAAAGGTTAGATAATTTATTTAATGAATGGATTTAGTAAACTGCTAAGTTTGAAGGTTTTCACAGCAGATGTGTTTAGTTCTGTTTCCTATTTACAAACAGTTTTATTTGGTTGTGAAGGAGGATCATTTTGAGATGAGCATTCCAAAAAACAAGTTATACTCATCTCCAAATGTGGTAACTTTTCTCCTATTAGTAATATATGAGATGCAAGAAATTAGTACTGCAGTCTCTGCACCAGTAATACTATCGCAAGATAATTTCATTTTTCTGTGAAGTGTAATGAATTAGCCTTAGAAATGTGATGTAACACTTCAAATGTAGCCTACAATTCTAAACTCAAATTTGTATTTAGTTGACAGGCAATATAATTTTTAGAATTAAAAGCAGTCAATAGATCAGATTTTAATCAAGACATAATACTTACCAACTCTAGCAGCAATGACTCCTGCAAACAGGAGACTAACAGAGATTAAAGGCACAGGCTCAGGACTCATCTCTGGGACAGTGTTAGCAGGAGTAGTAGACCCGTTTAACAAGTTGGGCACTCCAGTTGCAAAAATCATTTCAGGCTTATCTTCTGGAGATGCCATAGTAGGTAATGGTTCACTTTCAAACAGCCTGGCACTGATGTCAGCAAACGGGGAAACAGTCAAATCCAGAGGACTTCCAGGCATGAATACCGAGATGGCACATAAGACCAGACAAGCCAACTGAGCAACTCCAGAAATCAGGCCCGTGCGAACCAGACCACATTTGCGACGAAGCCAAGTGAAAGCTACTGTTCCCATGATTCCAGTGACTGCCGAGGCACCCATCAGGAGGCTTAGCACAGAGCCACTCAAACCCTGAGTGTATGCATAGCCTGTAGTAATACAGTCAAAGCCCAGAACAGTCATATACAGAAATGCAAGACCCATGCCTGCAAGAAACACTGGCTGGTTGTAGTACGCAACCCATCCATCACGAAACGTGATGAAAGGTTCAGCAATCCGGGCAGCACAGCTGATTTCCTTCTGTTGGGGCTCAAAGCCAGTTACATCTTTCTCAACAATTAACTGCACTCCTTCAGCAGGTTTCATGTCACACTCTGTAAACAGAAATATAACCATTAGGTACACTCCAGCCTGGAAAGTGCAGAGTGTAAACTGCAAGACAATTGTTTGCAGTTAGTAAGGTCACTGCTGCAGAAGTGCATCAGTTAAATTCTGCAAACAACCTTCCTCTGATTATTTACATGTTTCAAAGTGTCCTTGAATCCCATCTGTATAGTAAGATCAAGTAAAGTTTATTCCTATCAATTTAAACTCCTGCTTATTTACTTAAACTGTGGTAGCAGAAAGCATAGCCTGCTTTTTTCAATAGACTTGGGACTGAATGCTCCATTTCCATAAAGACATTATTTGCTTAATGAATGCCCACGTTAGCTAGCATTTTAACATAGCTTTGCACGCTTGGTGCAGCCTACTAGAGCCAAAAGCTTTCTAAACTTCACCTAAAAAAAATATTTCAGACTATGCTTTTCTACAATTCCATTTTCACTCTAAACTAGGAGGGCACTTCCACTTGTCACAAACAAAAATCAAAAAAACCCACAGTAGTATTTAAGGTTAGTAATGTGGATATAAACTATACAAATGTTTGGATGCCTGAGCAGTGTTTTCACACTGTCAAGTTTGAAACTAACTCCACATACACCAAGTGAGACATGAATTATTTCTCCAACTTTTAAAAATGCAAGTCATCTACTGAAATCAGAATAGTGCAATAGCAAAGATTAAGAGATGTCCCCTACATACTGACATTTGCTAAATGCTTCATTCTTCAGGAGCATTCAAGAGCCAGGTCCAAAGCTACAGAGCCTTCTACGCTCTTTATCTTCCTCCCTTATTCTAGGCTGCCATCAGCCTAATCTAATAGCTTATGGGACCAGCTATTACCACAGTGGATCTACTGGCTGGGAAGAAGTTATGTCTCTTCAGCACTTTTAATAGCAGCCTCCTATCTCACAATATATTGAGCAAAGAACAGATTGCCAGCTAGCTTTTACAGAAAAAACAGGAATTCTTTATAATCTTTCTTAAATAAAAGCCCACAACATGTTGTAGTTGGGAGCTCACAGCATAAGCTTTCAGTAGTATTCACATACCGCTACCTTAAAAATGGGAAAATGCTTAAGTCTTTTATTCCAGTATCTGACATTTCAAATACTTCATAACAAAACATCTGCTTCTGAAACAACTTTAATCTCTGATATTAAGACTGAAGTAATATTAATTTTAAGGTTGCTTACAGTCATAGCCATCTACACTGCACATCCCAGTTGTTCAGCTTGGCCAAGGAAGCACAGTAGAAGGTCAAAGTAGATTTTTTTTTTTTCTCCTCCACCATTTCCTGTAGCATGTGGAACTCACTGAAGCATGCCAGACTAGAAATATGACCACCTATTCTATAACCTCCTGAAAGCTTGTTAGTGCTATGCATAAGTAGAGACGAGTCAGCAAGAAAGAGTCCTACGCAGGCTGTTTGCTTGTAGACACTACAGAGCCGAGGGCTTTGTCAGCTCATTAGCTATGGTATAGATGGATAGGAGCATTCCTCACTATCAGCCCTAAATAACAGGGTAGACTTACTCTATAAAGGATTTAGTTAAGAGGACAGAATTCATTCTTTGGCTGTATTTTATGGGATACCCTCAAATAGCTGCACAAAGTATTGTTACTTAAGAGTCTCTGGTATCTATATCCAAAACCTGAAACCTCCAAGCTATGAGTAGAAAGCTGTATAGTCTCAAAGCAGTGTCTGTAGAAGACAAAAGTCAACACTTCTGTTTGACTGATACAGTGAATATACCGTGAATTTGAACAGTTACTTTTGTGTTTTCAATACCTTTCTTTACATTCAGCTGTTTCAGTTCCGATTCTTCAACCTTTGCAGATTTGACAGCCAGAGTAGGGGTTTTCTGGTAAACTTTCCAGAGCAGGAGATACTCCACACACATTGACATCAGGTTCCAGCCAGAAATGAATCCACAGCCAATCATCGGGGAGCCAAATGTCATTATCTGACCAACTGCCATTGGGGCCAAGATATTGGTCAACTGATCAATTCTTCTTATTGTGGCATTCATATCTGTCAGAAATTATTTGATGATATGAAGTAATGGCTGAACACTTACAGTGAGATATTCACCAACATAATTGAGGATTGCACATGTATACACATCAAGCTAAGAAGTCTTACTCCAGCTGTAAGTGATCCCAGCAGCAGCAGGAGACTGCTAACCAGAGGCATCTTTAGAGTGTTCCAATGTTTAAGTCCACAGCAACCAACCAAGGTGTTTGTAAGCCAAATCTCTAGTCCCGCCAGTTTTGCCTGCATGAGGTCTTCCACCTTTAGCATGCTAGGTTTAAAGCAGAAGTGTACTCATGCATGTAAAACTGTTCATCATGAGATCAGATCACCCTTACATCCTAGTGACATTATGAACTCCTAAGCCTATCTCTCATAACATTCAAACCCAGCATGCACAACTCCACACATGAATAGGAATCTCATATGGTAGAATTCTTTCCTGTAAAGATAATTTTAGCAACTGCTATCTCTCAATACTGGACCATGTATTTCTTAATCTCCTTCACTTACGTCTAATAACTGGTGACCACAGTACCCACTGCGATAGCGTCAGACCTTTGAAATGGCTTTAAATTTCCTTATCGAGTCACATTGGTTGATGGCAGTTGTAGGCATTCTCAGAACTTACTGAGCAAAGTCCTCATCCCTTTCTGTTCCACGCTTTGATGTTTATGGTCAAAATAAGCAGCCCATTCTTAGCATGAACACATCTTCCATTTGCTGGTAGGGGATGTCTGATCCTCCCCAAACTTACGCACTTTAGTGTCATTACACTCTCTGGGCTCCTGTAAGTTTCCAATTAATGGTGCCATTGTTCCACCCCTGAAAGTTGCCACTCAATGGTTTTGCACATCAGAGCTTCAGTTTGGTTAGAACTACATCTCAAGTCCATTTTGGAGAAGTTTTATTAAATTAGAGCTTTTGACAGGCAAGCGAAACTGTATACCAGTATGATGCTGCTTGTCTGAATCTGTAGGCAATTACTCCTCACCATTCAAAGAAATGTTTAGGTTATTCTATTTAGAATTCAAAGTCAATTCAACATTAACTATTTGACTGATGGTTAACTAAGATGAGTAAGTTAGATACTTGCATAACATTTGGCTTTAGAAATTCCAAGAACTAAGCTTTGGTTTTTGAGTTCTTTGAGGAAGGCTAGTACTTCCACTCAGGAAAAGTACAAAGTAAGAGTGAATGGAAAAATTAATGAAGGACAATGACAAAGGGGAAGCCAAGGCAATTTTTTATTTCCCTATTCCACTAACTTACTTCACTAAGGCTCCTCTTTGAGGAAAGGTAATGGTGCAGAGATGGACAATGGTATTTGCTGCAAAGTCAATGCTGGCATTTAATTTTTTTTTTTTTACGTCAAGGAATTTCAACAGTCTCCAAGTTACATTATGATTAAACACAGAACAACCCTATTCAGCCTGGAAGAGATCCTTTTGATAGACTTGTTGAACTAAGAGGTACTCAGTTCAGTGGGGTTTTTTTGTTTTTAAATTAAGTTGCATGAGAATTCAGCATAACCCCTTGCCTGTTTTTTCAGTACAGAATATAAGTGGTCATACAATTCTGTCTGAGATCATGACGCAGTACAGAGGCAGGACTGCCTCCCATGCAGCAGTTCTCTGCAGGTGTGGTCTGTACCTTATCTCATAGGTAGTAAGTAGTACAGGGATTGGGGAGATGATTTGCTGAATAAGATCTTGCACAAGAAGAAAGGTTAATGAGAATCATTAGAACTTTAAGGCTTTTATGGACAGATGATATTTTTCTACTTGTGATTCACTCAAAGAAAGTTATCCTGCACTGATGCTTTAGAAGAGGCATGACCTCGAAAGGCACTGGAAGGTCAAAATAGAAGACTACAATGGAAAATTTGTAAACTGGCAAATGAAAGGAAGACACTTTTAACACATCTAATTAAGAACTAGCCTCTCCTGGATGAGATAGGAAATAAGATTCCTTCATTGCAGATAAACATCAAGAACAAATCTGCAATATAGGATTCAAATCCCTAAAAGGACTCTGGCGTGTAAACTGAGCTTTGAGCAATTTAGGCAGCTTCATACAAAATTAAGAGTCCGGAAGCTGAAATGCTGTCTAGGCCTGGAGGTATCTACACTCCACAAGCGTCAGACTTAAAACTTTAGTCCTAGAGCTACTTCAGTGAGCTATAAACGTCTTGGCAATGTTAAGCTGCTCTGTGCGTTGTTTGCACTCCAGTATCAGTTCCTCTATCTGGGAAGGCTGAAGTCCCCTTATAGGCTTGATTCAGAGCCCATATAGCCTGCCCAAGCTCATCACAAAAAATGCTGCTTCCCACACTGTCTGTTACAACCAGAGCAGCAGCATAGCCAAACATCAATCATACATCCCTCGGTGTGAATGGCCTTGGGGCTAGGAGTAACCCCCAGCAAAGGACGGTCAAGTTCAATGTGTCCTTGGGGAAGATCCCAAACAGCCCCTCATGTTCAAGTAGTGTCCTGACTATTAAGCTGCAGTAGGACTTGAATGGGAACTCACTCTCCTAATAATGCCATGCCACTGTGCAAGAAAGGAGAAAAAGCAGGAAAAATATTTATTAGGCAAAAAAAGATTAAGACTGTAGTCTAATACCGAAGGTATCAGCTGTCAAAGGAATACAGAGCTTTCAGTTCCAACTGAAGAAAAGCGTTCACAGCTCTGAGTTAGACATCTAAGGCTAGATAAGAGCAAGATTTCAAGTATATCTGCATGCACAGCATGTCCTACTAGTAATTTCATGATCCATCGACTTTACTGTTTTGGACTTCATTCTCATGTACCTTTCTTTGATCCCTATGTGAGGAGCCCAGTTATGCAAGAGTTTTCTGTTTCATTCCAGGGACCTAAAAATAAAGTATTGCAACACTTGGCTTTAAGTGCCTGGAGTTAAATAGCTTTTCTCTTCAACACTAGTTATTTGATTTAAGAGTGTAGCATATGTTTATTTGTTCAGCAAGAATAAAGTTATCCTGACAAAGCTGCAGTAGGCGTAAAAGGAGGACAAAAGAAGTTCAAGGATGCCTAATTGAGTTGTAATCACAACAGTAATTTCTAGTCTCAGTAAGTGTAGTCCAGAGCAGGGAAGAGCAAAATAAAGGCTGCCCTTTTTACCTGCTGTTTCCTCATAATATCTGGAACTCAAAGATGTGCTGACCTCTGTAGAACTCTAGTCTAAAAATCAAACTTGGAAAGCAAGACATTTAAGGTATTAAAAAGGCAACATATTTCACCTGCCAGTTTGCTTCTGTCTTCCCCTGCAACCACAACAATCCAGTCCCTCTGAATTGTGATCGCTGTGGCAGTGCTGGCCAAATTGGCAATATTTGCTATTGTGATAACCAGGATATAGCACATCGTCTAGAGAAACGAGGGGAAAGAGCTACAACGTGAGAAAACTGATGAAGGTAGATCTCCACTCCTATCCTGTACAACCAGAAAAGACACTTTTACATTTGAATCCATACATTTTAGTGTTATTCTTCCAACAAAACAAGACCAAGTCTACTTTATAGTTCCTGACAGAAAACAATCACCTCTGTTTACCTAGCTAGCTCAAAGTTTCATTTGCCAGTTTTAGCTCCCAGGAATGTCTAAACAGACTAGAGTAAAATAAAAATTAATCTGTCTCTCATGGTCCCCAAAGTTTCCTTGCAAGTTAATTCATTATTAACAAGTTCAAGCACTCACAAGAAGCCATCCGTGGTATAAGGTCAAAAGCTGTGTCTTAAACAGGAAGATAATCATCAGGATAATACCGCACAGGATGACGGATGCATTCTGTACAACCAAGGATGTCTGGGCCACTGTTTTAAATCAGAACAGAGAGCAACAGTTATGAACATCAGAATGAGCTAACTATAAGCCTTAAGGGGGTTATAATTAAGGAACATGCACAGATTCTTTACATGTTTTTATTTTCCTACTCTCCCCCCAAAATATAAGTGACAAGACTGTACTTCATATTAGATTTTGAATCTTCCATTGTCTTACAGAAAGAAATTAATGTCTGATGTAACTTTGTAGCTCTTAATGATTGATAACTCTTAACAATTTACAGTTCAAGTAGGTCTTTTCTCAGTCAAAAACCAAACTGTACCTGTATAAATGCTGATACTATTTTTAAAGGGGTAAAAACCAGACTTAGTTTGAGTCTCTAAAATTCACCTTCAGCATACCATGGAAGTGATGCTATTTTGAAAACTCTTGGAAAGTAAAAATGCATATGAATAACATGTTATTTATAAAGCAGACTAGTGCATACATATTTAAAGTATGTATATTGCAAATGCAGTGCACATTTACACTTAAGTGGAAGATGTTTGTATCCAGACAGAAGACAACAAATAACGAGAGTGTAAGTTAGTATTAGACTGTAAAGAACTTGGTCTGTACTCCTTAAAGTTATCTGCTTTTTATCTTTTGCATTTCCATGCATCTCTACATATCGTATAGGTTTAGCCCAAGTAGTGGACACATCATGACGTAAAACTGATACTATCTTTGTATAATCATTACCACTCTGAAACACTACCCTTCTTAAAAAAACTGAGCAAGCCCTGTTCTCATATTTGACTTGAGGACTTAACGTTATCAGCTTTATCTTTTTACATTAATTTCATCCATCCTTAAGTAAATAATCTGCTCTAGGCATCTAACCTTTGAGCCTGGAGTTCTTGTCCACCCAGTCTCCAATAATGGCTCCCAGGAGAAGAACTGACCCCGCCACAACCAGTCCATAGACCGCAGTCAAGAGTAAGCTGTTTCCATAAAGTTCAACCAGGAATACAGACACAGCAAAATGCCACATACGATCTCCCTTTAAGAGTAACAAAGAGTACATACACAACATTACTATTTCTACTTTGCAAGCACACAAGTTGACTATTTTACTAATGCTCTGACAAG